TCCGGCGCCCGAGTCGTCTGCGGAACCTGGTCCGTTCCCGGGCCTGGTGGGCCGGAGGAGTTCTAAACCTCTCCCGGTCCCGCTCCGCCATCTCCTTTGCAGGCTTAACTTGCTCGCAGAAGGAGACGGCGGAGTTCCACGCACTCTCGCTTCGTACCATGCAATCGGCAATCATACTACCGAGCGAGAGAACTCCCACCCCGATGTGGCACCACGAGTTTGATCTACTGGTTAATGACCCTGACTGCTAAACCAGAGGTCGTGGGTTCGATTTCCACCTAGGACAAATATTTGAGTGGTGAGCATGATCGTTTGTTCTGTGTCTGGGTGTATTTATCTATAATATGAACATATGTATTTAGAAATATATAAGTAAGTTTATCAGCGGTCTGGTTACCATAGTACAGGCTCTGCCTAGTTTGGGATCCGACAGCCGTGTGTGTGATGTGTGACGTTATTATTATTATTATTAACTAACAAATCCATATCGTGAGTAGATAATAATAATAAATCTATGTATTTCAGTGACCCGAATATAGCCTCGATACTCTTCTGACAAAAAAACGGCGTGAGGGGTCTATGTACCCCCGGTCTGAACGAAGTTCCTTTCGCTTTGTGACATTATATCTTATATACTATAATATATTATATTTTTATTAGGAATTTTATCGAGAATAGGTAAGTTATAGTTACTAATTAAAGTTTTAGATTTAATCAAAAGTCGAACATTTTTTAATAATATAAATAATTCATTTCAGTTTATTTTTAGGTAGGGAGTTTTTGTTTGATGTTTTTTTTTAATCGCTTTAATTATAATTTTTATAAAACTGTTTAAATTTCCACTTTTAGTGTTAATAATTATAGGTACGTAGTAGGTTGAACTACTTCACATAAGTATCGAAAAGTAGCAACCTACAAAAAAACCTACTGCAGGACATCTTTATATGCAATATTTATAAGCCCGCTTCGATTCTGCCTGCCGCTGCCATCCTGGACGATAAAAAATAAAAATGGTTACTGTGGTCTATCCTTAGGAGATAGATATATACCATCGCTGATTTTATTATAGATTTTTGTAACATATATAATTCCATAGTACATTATTTTGGTCTATCTCGTAAGGTTTAGCCCGCGTTTGCAATGTAAGCGCACAAAACATGCTTTTTATCACAAATCTTTGAAATTATCTATACATATAAACCTTTCTCTTAAATCAGTCTCTCTATTGGTGAAAACCGCATTAAAATCCGTTGCTTAGTTTAAAAGATCTGAGCAAGTGCGTGCGTATTATAGCAAAAAGTGTCGGCAAAAGTCTTGTGTCACATTTTTTGGTCTAGCTTAGTAGTTAACTTTGTTCCAAAAACATGAACATCACATCACATCAACAGCCTATACTAGTCCACTGCTGGACATAGGCCTCTCCTTAGAAAGGAGGTTTTGGCCTACTATACCACGCTGGCCAGACGGGTTGGTATAGGGTTTGTTTCAAGTTTTCCTTCTCTTTGCATGAACATGCCCGCTACCAATTACTATCCGTATATTTTCACCAAATAAATCGTTACTTCGTCACGATCTCTAAGTACCGTAACATCTGCTTGGAATGATTGCAAATTTTTATTTACTCGAAGAAGTGCTGCAATGGAATACTAACGATTATCATTAAGACTGTCCCGGGGGACAAGAGGGCGGGTAGAACAAATGAGCAACAGTTACCGGGTACCAGGTGGGCTTAAGACATTTAATCGCCATGTTCCCCATTTAAATGATAGTATCATTTGTGAAGTACCTGTACTTTTTATCAGAGTCTGTGCATTAAGTAACAAGTAAAGTATTTTTTTTGTGTGGTGTAGGAGGTCAGATAAACAGACACCTGTCACAAGTGTGTTGACGCCATTTGAGCCCTGTCCCAAAATCATGGGTATTAAGGTTTTGGGCGATATCATCATCTGCTTACCCTTATCCCAATTTTATTTGGGGTCGGCGCAGTAAGTATAATTCTTCCATTCTACTCTATCATTCGTCATCTCACTCGTCACTACCTTCCTAGCCATATCCTTACTTACAGTCCATCCACCTTTTCTTTAGTCTTTCTCTTCTCTTGTACCCTTCAACTCCCATTCCTAACACTTTTTTCGCCACATTTTCCTCATACGTCCGCATGACATGTCCGTACCAAGAAGACCGATAACTTTTTAACTTTTCATTCAGTGACGCTACTTTCAGACTCCCTCGTATATACTCATTCCTAACCTTGTCCATCCGAGTCACACCACACATCCACCTCAGCATTCGCATTTCGACTACGTTCAGGCGTCTCTCATCTGTTTTCTTAATGGGTCAACTTTCAGAACCATACAGGACGGCAGGTCTGATGATAGTTTTATAAATTTGTTCCTTCAGTGTTAAGGGGAAACTGGGGTCACAAATTATTCATGTTACATCCCGCCACTTCATCCACCTCGTATTGATTCGATGCTGTACAATTCAATCAATCTCCCATCACATTGTAAGAGGGAGCCGAGGTACTTGACATTGGAGCAGACTGTTATCGCTATCACATCCAGCGAAATGGTTTCAGAACTGGAGAGACCGCCGAAATTGCAGCATATGTACTCAGTTTTGGTTCTGCTGATTTTCCAGCGAACATTCTGCCGCCTTTGTTGCGATTTTCCAGTCTGCTCTGAACCTCACCCCCGTCTTCACCGACCAACACAATGTCATCTGCAGGTAGCTTTGTCGTGATTCTCTTCATATATTTATATATTTAATAGTCCTCTGCTGGACTATTAAAGACTGTTTAAAAATTGATTATCTTGGCCTTTCCTTGGAAAGGAGGTTTTGGTCTATTATACCATGCTGGTCAGACGGGCTGACATTGTTTCAAGTTTTCCTGCACTTTGCAGTACTGTTCTCCTGCGTAGTTGCTCCCTTATTCGGGATGAATAAGTGCGGTGACACGCTATATTCTTAATCCGTCACCACACGAATTTCAAATTAAAAACAAAGATCTTAAATAATAAATATAAAATACGAGTAAAGGGTTTACTCGTATATTTAAGGAATTTTAATCAACTGATTTATGTATATGAAGTAAAACATAGTTTGTATTTAATAAACAGCCGAAAGCTACAGATTACATGATTTGGAATAATATCTAAACTTATCAGTAGTAAAAAGAGCAAAAACGAATGAATGAATGTATAAAACATGCCTTAAAGGAACATATAATTTAAATTATTTTAACCGCTTTCCAGTTTTTAACAATTAATAACTTTAATACTTTATTGACATTATTCAGATTAAAGGTTTAACGGGTAAATTAATGTATAGCCAACGTATCATCGTGTCATCTGAAAGTGTAAAATTTTATTTTACTAATTCTCCGGTTCTCCCCACTGTGCACTTTTTTCTTTTCTGTTTTTCTTTTTAGAACTTTTTGAGTTTTCGAAGCGTACACAAACGAACATAACATTTTTATATGTCGGAGAACGTTAAGCGAAACGTCAAGTCCTATCGATCTGGGCGTATTCGGATGGGGTGATTGGCAACAACACTGTGGCCGACAGCTCGTTTCATTTGTATGGAGTTTAGAGGCAAGGAAAACCATATTTTATGAAGGGAAATTTGAAAAAGTGTCCAGCAGTATACTGAAAATCGATGTTGAACATAGCTTCTGTAGACGGAGTGAAGTGCGCTGAGTTTAAATAATATAATATTTTTATTATCTGAAAGTTATTACACCTTTATTTATTGTCTGTAAAACTCATTGACTATTTTCGCAGTCTAATACAGAGTATCTAATTATTATTTACTAGCCATCTGCCCCTGCTTCGTACGGGTGCAATGTAGATACTACCCATACTACTAATGTCAGTGTGGAGTAATTAATTATACTACTATTATGATACGAGTGGGGCTATACTACAGAACATCTTTATATGCAATATTTATAGGTCAGCTGCCATCCTGCCGGTCACTGTCACCCGGGACGGACATACGCCTCGATAGTCCTTGAGCCCCGCATTTTAAACCTCTAATATCTTCTAAAATATTTCCTCTACTATAATATGCATGTATTCTACATATAAACCTTACCCTTGAATCACTCTCTGTTGTCAAAGTCTGTTGCTTAGTTTAAAAGATGCCGAAACAAAAAAGCAACTTTATAAAATTTATCCTAGGTTGCCGCAGCGCCACCCTTATTGGACGCGTTTTTACGAAAACTTTCATACACTGGTATGGTTCTCCTTGCCTCTACACTCCATATGCATTTGGAACAAGAGACTGTCAAAGGTCACTTTTAGGCGAGCAAGAGCGGAGGAAACATTGATGGAGACAATTTAAGTCCAACTTCGCTGCGTTCTGCAAATAATCCGACTACATCTAAGCCGCGTGTGCATATTTAAGTGTGATTCCTTATACCTGATACAGAGTCTTATTTCCTTACATCACGATGGATTAAGAGTTGGGAAACGATAATCAACCACACACCCCCTCGTGTATTATTAGTAATCTGTGATATATTTTATATCTAGATGAAAATGAGAGATGTTTGGAGTATTTGAGTTGCTTTAATCAATTTACAGAGGGCGCTGAACATTTGATACAAGCCACTTTCATAATAAATAAAATGTACTCTGATCCAGAGATCTAATTTTATCTGTGCTCTGTGATACCTGTCAACATTAGATTCTGACAATAGGTATAGTAAAAAATATCCAATAAATAAACTCAAATTAACTGTACTATGGGAATTGAACACAAAACCATTTTGATTTTCAATTCATAGAATATAATGGCTACAAGAACACACATCAACAGCCTTTAGTAGTCCACTGCTGGACATAGGCCTCTCCTTAGAAGGCTACAAGAACAGTTAAAAATATTCAGTAACATGTGTTTTGAAATAAAATCCGTAAGTAATGTCTGCGTGAATAATGTCTATTTTAATAAATATATCCTGTGATGAAAAATAAAAAGGAAACCTTAAACACTAAAAAATGTCTGAAAAGCATAGTCTATATAAATACTTCTTCTGTGGTGGTCTAGGCCGTGTATTCAGTATTACCTTAGGCTACCCATTGGATACCGTAAAAGTGATATTACAGACTATGCCTGTACCAAAACCCGGTGAACCGCCTTTGTATTCAGGCATGATTGACTGTATCGTAAAGAGTATTCAAAAGGACGGTTTTAAAAGCTTATTCAGAGGGATGATGGCACCTCTTGTGATATCGGTCCCAGTGAACTCTATATTATTCTTAAGTTTTGGCCTTGGCAAGAAATTATTTGAAAAGGATGTCGACCCCTCAATGCCTGAGCTATTTGTTGCCGGGGCATTTTCAGGAACATTAACGTCATTTCTTGTGGGGCCAGCAGAGCGCATCAAATGCCTCCTTCAAGTCCGGGACGATGGTACTTCGACCGTCAAATATAGGGGTACATTTGATTGTTTTAAGCTGCTATATGCTCAAGGAGGAATTAGGAATGTGTATAAAGGTACTACAGCTACTCTGTTAAGAGATATACCAGCGACTGGCTTATTCTTCATGTCTTATGATTCACTCATGAAAATAACAGTATCTAAAGATACATGTCCTTCTAATAAAATGGCGGCTTGTATGTTTGCTGGTGGAGTTTCAGGTATGTGTTACTGGATAGTTGCAATGCCGGCTGACCTACTGAAAACAAGGTTCCAAACGGCCCCTGAAGGCAAATATAGTGGCTTGATGGATGTTTTTAAACAATTGATGTCTAGAGAAGGTCCGAGGGGTTTGTTTACAGGACTAACGCCGGTTCTGGTCAGGGCGTTCCCAGTAAACGCAGTAACCTTTCTCGGTTTTGAAATTGGCGTAAAGGTTTATGACTGGATATTACCCGCTTTATGACGATTCATGTTTGTATGAGTTTTTTTGAAAATTAAACCAGCTGTAATGGTATATTCAAACGTAGCAAACTCAAGAGGCGAACTAGTTTATTTGTAATTCGAAAAGAGAATAGCATGTGTTTGTTAATGTGATTGTTTAGTGTGTAAGTGTAAATATCGATCATTTTTGTAAAAATCTATTAAGTGGATTATAAAACAACTAAACTGAATATTCGTATGAATATGTAGTCTTGCTGAAAATAGAAGCAAATTGAACTGCTATATGGAGTATGTGTACAACTGAAGTCTTCATTTTAGAGCAGGGATTCCCAAACTATTTTGGGCATGAGACCCCTTTTCCAGAATGAACTGACACTTCAGATCCCCATAGCCAAATTACTTAAAAATCCTATCTCTAGTTTTTTTTCTTATTAATATAAAATGCTTATAAATATAAAAACTTTGCCGTTGGTTAAGAAAGTAAAATTGCCATCATTTTCGCATCGAAATTTAACAAAATAAATAGACATGTTAGTCAGACTTATAATAAATTGGTACACGTAACACAACTTATGCAGTATCTTGAAATTTGAAATAAGAACTTGTGTTAATTAATTGTGGTCAATTTTTAGACCTCATCGACCCCCAATTTCAGTTATCGTTTATCTCGACTCCTGGGAAAGCGATTTCGACCGCCAAGGGGTCGATATCGACCACTTTGGGAATCCCTGCTTTAGAGAAAAGAGTAGACAGAACTAAAAGAAGTATATTATAAATGACATGCTTGTTGTATTTAATGTAGTACTATGATATCATTTAAAAATCATAAAATTTTATTGTGTAATTTTTTTTTATGGGGACATCTGATGGTTTACTTATCCCTTTCAAGAATAAGGTTTATATATATATATATGGTCCAGTTTTGTATCATTTAAATATAGTCCTACTTTGTTTAATATAAAATTATACCTTGTTGATCAATAAATTATAATTTATTTTTTAAAACAAGGTTTTTTAACTGTGTATCTGGTTAAGAATTATCTTAGACATATCCGCAGCATCAAGCATCCATTCCTTCATCACAGTTAAGCCCTTGCTTCAGGGACATTTTCTTTCTATGGAAGAGAGGGCAAATTGAGCAGACGGGTCACCTGATAGAAAGTGACCACCGCCGCCCATGAACGCTTGCAACTCAGGGGTCACAAGAGTATTGCCGGCCTTTGGGATGGTGTACGCTCTTTTCTTAAAGCTTTAAAGGTCATATGAGTCCGGAAATACCGCAGTCGTCTGCGGTATTTCCGGTAACTTGTTCCAAAGATAGGTTGTGGGAGGCAAAAAGTGTCTTAAAAAGTGCACAGTGATGAAGTGCGAATTATCCAAGTGATGGGGATGCAACGTTTGCCCTTCTGGAACGATGGCAGAAAGTTGCGGCCGGTATTAATCCGAACATTTATGCTCTTTCTATTGGACCCCAGTCCAGGTATTATCGTCTCAGTTGAGCTGTGATCTATGTAGATGCAAATCCTGTGCGATTTGCATTAGCTGATATATTACTGTCTACTTTTTTAATCCATTTAAAAAAACAAGTTTAAAAAAAAAAACTTTAATGTGTAACTAAAATGTAAGTTCGCGACTTTAATAATATGCGCATGCCACTGTCAGGATCTGGATTAAATTTTGTAAAATGGGTAATATTTATTTTTTCTAGTCAGAAAATTTTAAAAGACGTCCCTCCAAGGAATTCCTATCATATCGTATATTTCATATCCTAAAATAGGTAAATTTCCTTTCCTCCTTACCATTTCGGTATGTCATCGTGTAAGTCGAGAATCGTCGATGAAAATAGAAAAGGCAAAACTTATCATGAAAAGCAATTCTGGTACTGTCACAGATGGAAATCTATAGTACACGGTATTTCGGTAGAAAGTACGTAGTACCTCGATACAGTGGGAACAAAAATCCGCTAAGCCTTAAAATCATGAGATAAAGAGAGACAGTGCGCGACAGAGCGAATACAAAAAAAAATTTACACAGGTTAATTCTATACTATTAATTTAATCTTTTAACTTTGTCAACAACATCATCATCATCATCATCATCAGCCTATCGCAGTCCACTGGTGGATATAGGCCTCTCCCATTGATCAGGATATTGGAATCGCATCAGGAATGAGGTGATCCGGCAGAGAACCAAGGTCACCGACATAGCCTACCGGATCAGCAAGCTGAAGTGGCAGTGGGCTTGCCATATTAGCCGCAGAACTGACGACCTTTGGGGAAAACGAGTTCTTGAGTGTTAACAACATTATTTCAAAATTTAATATTTCAAAAGTTCTATTTTCTTGGTTTAGGGTCAGTTTTGTGTCGTATCATAGAGAAGGTTGTTTTCGTTAAGTGTAAAGAAACTAACGTCGTCGAAATAGTGTATTAACATTTAAATAAAAAATATCGTAACAATTACTTCGTACTAAGAATAATTTTGAAACGAGCTTCAAATTGAGACTGCACGGGTTTAAACGGTCACCTCGCCGGTTTCTACTGCGTCAAGTGTTGTGGATTCGATCCCCACATGGTACAACACTTTGCGTGGTCCACAAATTGCTGTTCTGAGTCTGGGTGTCCTTCATGTTCGTTTGCGTCAGTAGGATGCACGAGTTACTTGCACGTTTGTTTGATATAATGTGCTTGCTGCTCGCGCGGGTTACATGCTCGAGTTGCTGGAATAAGCCACGTTGATTCATCAATGTTGGTTGTTTTGTTGTGGTTGTTGCATGATATGAAATGATGATATCTAAATCTGCATGAAGTGTGTATCAGGATGTAGAACGGTAACTTTTTTAACGGTAACGTTAAAAAAAGTTACCGGTCACGTATTTATATTTTATGAATAAAATAAGATACTCTGAGTATAGCCCTGAAGATTGGCGGAAATCTAAGCTAACACTCCTAAAACGTTATAAATTGTGTAAGTGTCTGTTAGATAATTCATAAACCTTCCTATTTTAATGATAACCAAATAATTTGTGTCCCTTGCATATTTATAACAAAATATTTTAACCTTACTTCCAACTTTTTAATTTGAAACTTGTACTGGAAACCAGAGACAATTATCCACTACATTAAAACGCAGCGCTCTGACTCAAGAGAATCGTTATTTCTTAGACTACGTTCATTCTATTTGCTGCAATTTATACTCGGCTCTTGTTATGTACCTTCAAAGACTTTAAACTGTATTCTTCGCATTTATTGAAACAGGACAGAAGCCGATTATCGGATTATTACCAATAATAAAATAAAACTACATAAAGGTAATCGGTGAAGACAAATAAGAGAACATAATAATATTTATTTATGCAGGTTAATATTTTTTCGCTTTAAACACAAACACACACAAACTTTCCTGGATAAATGTGGTTTCGTTTTTTAAGACTTGCTCAAATAAATGTACATTAGAAATTGAAACCTTTAATTTCATACTTAAGATAAACGATTGCACGAAATTCCCTATAATTAACTGTTAGGTGCGAATATACAAAGTTCTTACGCACACACCTCGAGATTCTCTTAATCCAGACTCTGAAAGCCTGTTAGCAAAATAAAAATGAAAATACTTTCCCTGCCGGAACGAGTTTGTCACAAATCGACCGATTTTATTTACTTTGTTCGAGTTTCCTGATACAGTTAAATAGGGAATGGAGTTACTGTCGGAATTTATTCCAAGTTCTTGGTATCAATTTGGCAATACACCAATACGGCATATTGGTGGGCTCGTGTCTGATTACTTTGTACTTTCTGTGTCAAATGCGACAAACTTTATTTCTGTAACTAATGAAAAGAATTACAATAATAAAATCTTACTAATATTGGAAATGCAAAATTCAGAGTAATGTTTGTTACTCAATCACGCCAAACGGCTAAACGGATCTGTATCAAATATGGTTTATAGGCAGATTATAATCTCAAGACAATAATCTGCCTTTAAACAAAATTCCAGGCAATATAGAAAATAAACTAATTTAAAAAAATACTAAATTCGCTACCACGATTGTCGATTAATATGAGAGTAGCCGCGTTGTTAGTAAGAAACATATTCTTACATATTATAGATAGTTCAACTCATTTGTGCGCGCGGCAATATGTGTGCGTGGGCTTGTAAATATACAACTTTCATTCGTGTGGCAGTCGTCGTCCGAGCACCGCGTCACTTGGCTTCTTATCATTTTATATGGCTATACTATTAGAATAAAACTCTTTCGTATTTTAAAAACTTTCGGTATGGGAGGAGATTCTTTATCACCACCAGGTCCTCATTGAGCAGAACAAATGATTCTGCCAACATTTTATATGTTTATAGTTATCATCATCATCATCATCAACAGCCGGTAATAGTCCACTGCTGGACATAAGCCTCTCCTTAGAGAGGAGGTTTTGGCCTACTATACCACGCTGGGGACGTCTCCCCAGCGTGGTATAGTAGGCCAAAACCTCCGGTTGAGATAGGGTTTGTTTCAAGTTTTTTTATAGTTATAAATAACGAATACAATTTGAAAAAAAAGCAAAATAGCACGCAACAACAACCAGTTGGTTCGGTACCAACTGTTTGTAATGCAAGCTAACATAAAATTATAGCAATTAAAGCAATGTTTTTATAAAAATAATATGAGATTTTTTCTAGTAGCAGGTTTGAATAGGTTGGACACCCATAAACCATAAACTCCATACAATATTGCAATCCTTTTTAAGGGTAGTTTAGATTTTTTAAACTTTTAAAAAGGAGTATTTACTGTGAGTGTAAAAACGCTGCTGCAATAAATGACGAAGTTTCATATAAACTCCCAACCCCCTTTTAACTCCCCTTAGGAGTGGCATTTTTTAAATCCTTTTTAGTGCACAACTATGTCACTCTTATTTCTCACAAATGTTAAAGAAATATCATGCTTCTATACCCAGCGGTTTCGGCTGTGTGTTTATCTATCAGTCAGTGAATCATTCTGTGAGTTTCTACTTTTATAGATCCATCGGCTTCATATTTATTTCAATTTTCCGGGATAAAAATAGCGCATAAGCAGTTTCAGACCAGAATTATAATCTATCTCTGCGCAAATTGCATCTATTAAGGCGTTCTGGCGGTGTTCATGTGTAAAAGTGGTTCATATGCACACAATTTTTATTAAAATTGAAATATATATAGGAAAGAGTATATTTCATCTATTGGAAAGTAAACTCTCCTGTCTTCCCACAGAAGCAATATTTGTATACAGATTCATTCACGCCTGCTTTCCTATGAAGACAGGCAGAGACGTAATCAACACTTCGTTTTAAATGTTTATTAATTTACACCTCTTTTTTTTCCGTGCGGAAATCCCCTCGAATTCCACCTCTAGGTGGCATGTCGGACTCGAACCGACTAAAACCGCACGCCGTCTCGAGTACTAATAGCCGGGGAACCAGGTATACCCTAGAAAGGAAGTCCCTGGTGACCCGACATACCTCGGGCCATCTACAGACGAGTAGAAGACCCCCCCCCCCCCGTCTGGGAACCCCATGTTCCCTCTGTTCCCTGTAAGCGAGCGCGTTGCGAAGCGCACTCGCTTCCCGCCATCCCGGCCTGCTTCTGCTAGGGTGACATATGGCCTCACCTGTCACCCCCAGGCCTGCGCTTATGGAGGACGGAGGTCGTCCTGCGACCTCCGGCGCCTGAGTCGCCTGCGGTACCTAGCCCGTTCCCGGGCCTGGCGGGCCGGGAGAGTTCTAAACCTCTGACGGTCCCGCTCCGACGTCTCCTTCGCGAGCATAACTTGCTCGCAGAAGGACACGGCAGAGTTCCACGCACTCTCATTCCGCACGATAGCCGCAATCAGGCTATCGAGCGAGAGAACTCCCACTCCAATGGCCGCCACGTGGTCTTGCCTCTGCTTAACCCAACTCTGCCAGCGTCTGGAGAGCCGTGTCCACGGTCTGACCATCGCAGTGGTGGCACTCAGGCGGCCACTCCCCTATGATGACGTGGCGGAGTTGGGATTTCCGGTCATCGATTTCTCGAATCTCGGGACAATGACCCAACTCCCGCGCCTCCTTGCGCCACTGATACAGAGCCGCAAGGGCTCTCGCCTCCAGGTCCCACGGTGGAGTTCCGGCCAGTTATTAATTTACCCCAGAGAGTTTCATGTTTATACGGCAAACGAAATATCTGGTCAGTAGTATAAAGTTTATCTGATTTATTGAACTATTACTAGAGAAATTGCTACTTTAAAAGCGGAATGATTGTGAAACAATAATAGCTTGCAAATGTATGAGTGAGGAAACTGACTGAGGGAGCAAACTACCGAGGACAAAAGCGTTACAAAAAGAAGGAAAACTTGAGACAAACCCTATACCAACCCGTCTGGTCAGCTTGGTATAGTGTGTCAAAACCTTCTTTCTAAGGAGATGCCTGAGTCCAGCAGTGGACTATTAAAGGCTATTGATGTGCTAATGACGATCAAGTGAAGAAAGCAGTTACTTACAATTCTCACTCATGTAAATGTTGAATAATATACGTACCAGAATATCATGTAAATCTTACCAGGTATTTTGTTTGCCGTGTGCGTTCTAAAATTTTCTGTACACAGTATAAGTAAAATTAAACTATGGTAACACTAAGCAGCCTTGTCATAGACTTGCTCAGTAATTTCGCTATAGCTTCTCCGTGTTAGGTGCTTGCTATGACGCTAAGTAACAACATTATGTTGGTAATAATGCCACAGTTTAATAAAATGATAGTATGAAAATATCTATCTGGTTTTGTTTTGGTATAGAGGGCAAATGAAATGTACCGACGCCCATGCACACTTTAATAGACAGAAGTTGTGTGTTGCCGCCATTTGTTTTTTTTGGAAAGATTTTGAGCATATATTTATAAGTTGATTTTGTTTCAATACCTGGTTGTTTTATTTCTTATTGATTATATTTTGTGAAGTACAGAAATACTTTACATAGTATGCTGACAGAAAAAAAAGAATATTTCCTTCGTTTATAGTTTAATTTTAATTTAATTAAATAACAATTTCATGTAATGGCAAAATTATATTTCCTGTTTGTCACAGGGTCAATTTTTCTGCAAAACACTCATATATAATCCAGAGTCTAACTTAAACATATTAGAAGTAATGTTTGCTTTCTTTTTTTTATACTTATATAACTTTTAGACTTAAAAATTTAATCGTCTTCATAATATTTTAGTAAGAAATCTTTTATAACATATTTAAGTTTTCAGAGCCATTTATGTCAAAAACTATACGTTCTATTCTTTAGTTCCCCTACTGTATAACCTACACTGTGACCTCACGAAGGTTACAGAGTAACTCAATGTGATTTAGTCTATCGTGTTTCATAACTATGGCGTCGTGGGGTAATTTTGTTAAATTGTGTATTTAGATATCGAGGTGGATGTAATAGTGCCTCACTGAGGAAATTGTAAGACGTGTGGTACTTCACGAGACAATCTGTATGGACTATTAAGAACGTGTTGTTGTGACAGTATAACTTAATGTAGGAGATTTGTTTGTGTAAACACATTTCATGATGTCATTTTTGTTTTTTCTGACTCAAAAGAACACGGGCATCTCCTCTGATCATCTTTTAATGTTTACAATCTTGAAGATAATACAAACGCTAATACCCGACTGTGTATTTTGATATTTATATGTATATTTATGTGTGTGTATATGTTTATGTATTGTATGTGTATACTTGGGACCTTTATGTATACATGTAGTAATGAATATAGTATTTTTTAATGTATATAATATACATTATATACATAAAAAAATACCTAAGTGAGATTTATCTTAAATTAATAAATTTAAAATAAATAAAGTCAAATTTTCAGTTTTCTGTACCTACTGCATTATATTTCTACATCACCCGAAGGCAGAGAATGCGCTGGGCATTAAGTCCATCTTTGTACAACTTGTGCATTAAGTTATATAAAAAAAGTGTTAGATGTCCGAAAATATTATTAAAAAAAATGTACTTAAGTCAGAAGTACTTTTTTTTAAATAAAATTTTGCATTGGTGATAGTCATTGACCCGTCTGCTCAGGGGCCCTCTATTACATAAAAAGGGCAGCTTTCTTCGGAATCCTCCTTGAAATGTAATCATTTTGAAAACAGAACAGAAGGTAGATAAATAATAAAAACGTTCGGACTTAAAACTTTAATAAGATACGTTTTTACATAACATAGCTGACAGTGCGATCATTAAATATATTTGAGTACCCACTTTATTCTCCAGGATGTATTAGTTGTGTTACGTTCAAAAGTATATTAAAAATACGACGTATGTGAAAGCCAATATTTCATACACTGGGTCTGTAATATTTAACTCCCTTATAAGTTTTACACTATACGATTTTATAATAAAACATAAAAAATTACAATCTCATTCTTATCTTGCAAGCTATGTCCACAAACAGCGACATAGCTTACAAGACATAGTAAACTTATAAATGTTTTTAATGTAGAAAGTGTTCTATATTATATTTGTTAAGATTTTCCACATATTAGCATTTCATGGTTTTTCTGCAAAACAATTTTTTTTAAACAAAACGGGGCACCTGATTGTCAGTGATTACCGAAGCTAATGGACACGTGTTTGCCTCCCTCTCCTCCCAGATTAAAAAGGGGAGGGCTAGGCCTTCGCTAAACTCACTCACTCAGTGAAAAACAAGAAAACAATTCCTTAACAGTGGTTTTCTGTGAAGCCGTGGTGGACTCTCCAACTGTTAAAATCTTATAACGAGTTCAAATATAATATATTTGGTACTCGTTGCGGTACTTTTTATAGTCGGCTGTACTTTTTAAGCCTTCGTAGAGTCATGTCGATAATAGAACGTCGTTTGTTATAAAGACCTTTAGCTAAAGAAGTCGCCGTATACAGGAAGCGCGTATGTCGCGACTTCACATCCGCCAGATATTTATCATTCGGCGCGTTTGCGCCCGTGACTCCGCTCATAAATATGCAATTTGTTGCAATGTGCCCGCTGTAAATGTTTGTGTTTTATTATAAACTAGCTGACCCGGCCACGCGTTGCTGTGGCTAAAGTTTTTGTTATATTACATTATAGTAAACAATCTAAGAGGAACAATAAGAGAACATCAGTCACGGAGTCCACTATGCTTTTTCACACAGGTGGTATTTGTAAAAAAATATGGTGATCTCCTTATTTGACTTTCTACTACTATAACCCTTTAGTACAATGAAATTATTTACGAACAAAGACGAAAATGTTGATGTTGGTATACAAATTCACTGGATTGAGATTTGAAGGGGAAGTACATTGAACACAATTAATTAAAATGTTCTTACACTTGCTATTAAGCAGAAATCAATAGGTACAAAATAAAAATTTATCAGATTTATTATTTCCATTTAATTTTATAACAAATATAAGTATATTACAGTATAATACAGTAAATAACATGTAACGCTTAAACTCATGAATGAGGTAGGCAAGGCAGACAGTCTTAAACTTTTAAACATTAATATCTATTTTTTTGAATTATAAATACTTTCAATTTCAATTTTACGTAACACCAATCGGTGCACAATGTTTTTGGTTAACCTGTCTTTAGCTAACACAAATAGATTCGACGGTTTCCCAACACGTGAACACGCAACATATAGTTCCCCATGAGAAAAACATGGATTTTCCAAATCTAAACCACAAATGGACATTGTTTGACCTTGAGATTTATTTATAGACATGGCGAAAGCTAAACGAATTGGAAACTGTAGCCTTTTGAAGGGTATGGTAGAATCTGATGGTATCATCGGAATACGTGGCAGCAGGACCACTTTTCCTTAAAAATTCCCAGCCAAAATGGTTGCTTCAAGAATGTTTCCGGTGATCTTTTTGATGACCAAACGCGTACCGTTAGATAATTGAGGTGGATTCAAATTACGGAGGAGAATAATAGGGGAACCAATCTTTAATCGAAGATTATGTGGTGGCATTCCAGGGATATCTAATGAATTTAAAAATTCAATCGGAAAATTTACACTTTCATTTTCATCAACAACAGTATCGATTGATTTAAAAGACATCAGATCGCCTGGTAACAACTGTTGTATCTGGAAGTTAATTTCGTCAACATCAACGTTTTTGGCTGCCAAAATCGCCCGTTGACTAAGCCATTCATGATTCAAATAATTATTCTGTATATCCGGGAAAATACTCTGAATCAATTCATTTTTATCCTGAACAACAGTGCAAAAATTGTCTGGTAGTTCAATGCATTGCGTATTTGGTTGCAGTTCTATTTTACCGTTCCCAATATCTAGTAGTTGTTCGGAAAATATTTGTGCTGATGGATCATTTTGCAATTGTACTCGCATATTTATGGTCAATCGAAGTGTTTCAACACTTCGCCATAAGAATGATTGTTTCAAACATGCATTAATCTCATCCGCGAAAGTAGAGCGAGGTATAACCGGTAAGGTCTGCCGGAAGTCACCAGACAAAAGTAAGATAGCACCACCGAAAAGTTTATTATTGCTGTTTAAATCTTAGTTCTGTATAATGCTTCAAGTGAATATTTGTGTGCCATTGTGCACTCATCCCAAATTATTATAGAACTCTTCCGCAACACTGCAGCTATTCCACTATTCTTTTTGATGTTACACATTGCATCTGGTTTATTATGAACGTCCAATGGCAGCTTGAATGTTGAATGTGCTGTTCGCCCACCATCCAGTAAAGTAGCCGCAATGCCTGACGATGCTACTGCTAATGTAATTATACGGTATTTCGTTCACTACAAAATAAATTTAATTAATTTTATAGCGTCAACAACACGTGGTAATTATGCTGTTAAAATGTAGCTTATATGACACGTTCGTAGATTTACCATAGCAGCGCCATCTATTGATTACTTACTCAACCCAGTCGAAAGGTATCGACAAACACCAAAAATTTAAAAAGTGGAAATAATTGAATTATACGGTATTTCGTTCACTACAAAATAAATTTCATTAATTTTATAGCGTCAACAACACGTGGTAATTATGCTGTTAAAATGTAGCTTATATGACACGTTCGTAGATTTACCATAGCAGCGCCATCTATTGATTACCTACTCAACCCAGTCGAAAGGTATCGACATACACCAAAAATTTAAAAAGTGGAAAAAATTGAATTATACGGTATTTCGTTCACTACAAAATAAATTTAATTAATTTTATAGCGTCAACAACACGTGGTAATTATGCTGTTAAAATGTAGCTTATATGACATGTTCGTAGATTTACCATAGCAGCGCCATCTATTGATTACTTACTCAACCCACTCGAAAGGTATCGACATCTGTTAGAAGCATTTGGAGTTAACAGATAATTGTGACTGTCAAATAATAACAGACAAATAATTAGCAATAAATTAAAATTGCGACTATAATTTGAGATTTAAACTATCCTATCTCTCAAGTTGGATCGAACTGCACATGGTGTGCGAATTTTATTATAATCGGTTAAGTGGTTTAGGAGTCCATTGAGGACAAACATTGTGACACGAGATTTATATATATTAAGATATGTTTCGTAACATGTTTTTGATCGATATTGACATATTTATTTTGTGACAGACCGATGTGATAACATATTTGAAATGGAAGTACATTTATACAAACGAGGAGGAACTGTACTGTTTGGCGGTATGAAGTATAAGTTGAACGTTCATTCAAATTTCACATCACATCACATCAACAGCCTTTAATAGTCCACTACTGGACATAGGCCTTAGAAAGAAGGTTTAAATTTAAGTGAATAAAATCCCAACGAAAACAGCCTGTCTCAGCAAATTTCCTTAGAATTTAATCACCTCCTCTTGCAGTCCTGTAGCGTTAAATTTATAACTTGATCACGTGATTATTTTTTATTTCGTGTTTCTGACTTTGAAAATAATCTTCCGTTCGTCCTTTATTACCCCCTTAGGGGTAAAATTTTCCAAAAATTCTTTCTAAGTGGGTATTTACTATATACAAAGCATCAGTTGCGAAAATTTCAAGGTTGTAGCTCAAGTTGTTTAAGGTCTGCGTTCATGAATCAATCAGCGCAAGTAATTGCATGCCTATAGATTGATTAGAAAATTTAGCAATTTCTTCTAAATTTGAACTTAAATCATTGTAATAATGTCATCCCAATGATAAGTAGGTACAATAAGAAAATTGAAATGCAAATTGTGTCCGTTATACACATACATACAAATAACAGAATACTCTGTCCACAAATTTTTCTTAAATATGAATACAAATAATTGTCTTCACGTGTTAATATACATGCATACTTTTATCGTGGGAGAGCCTTGCTTTGGCACGAATCTCGATCGGATTGATACCACGGCCTCACAGAAAACCGGTGTTAAACAATTTTTCGTTGCCTTTCACTGAGTGAGTGAGGTTACCGAAGCCCTAATCCCCCCTCCCGCTGACTCGAGCGAAAGAGACTCCAAGGGCGGCAACGCACTTGTGACTTTTGAGTTGCAGTTGTCCATGGGCGGCCTTAGTTGCTTCCCATCAGATGACCGGTCTGCTCGTTTGCCCCCTTATACCATAAACAAAGAAAAACATCTTTAAAAGGTTGTCTCATTTTAGAATATATAGTGTGTAATGTATAGTGCATTTTTGCGTCTCACTATTTTATGGAATTTGCGTGGAAAATTACATACATCAGGGGTAGTAAAGTCTTAACGAGAAATTTCTAGCAAATATTTTCTTATTTGCGAAGCTTTCTATGTCCGTAGCTTATAATAGCTTGAAGTTTACTAGCAACATAACTTGGGTAACCATCATACTCGCACCGTTATACAATGTTTGTAGAAAAAACTTTAAAACAAAAATGTTTACACACAAAGCTGTTTTAATTGATTTTCTTTCCGCGAACGCTTTTTACATATGCTGGTATACAGGTGATGTTTATTTATGCTTTATAATTATTATTATTTTTATGTTAGAGGGGGCAGACGAGCAGACGGGTCACCTGATGGAAAGTGACCACCGCTGCCCGTGAACGTCTGCAACTCAGGTCAACTCAACATACAACATTTTTTAGGAAACAAACTTATTGGCCTAAGTATTACTCATTATTTTAGCTTTAGATTAGTATAAATTTAGATTTACAGTAGCTATGGTTATACATATATGGTTATTGTTGGAGTTATACTATTCTTTTATATTATACACACGCAAAACTTATCAGGACACTAATAGAAAATCATTATTTTTATTCTCAGATAATCCTTATCTTTAGAAAAAAAGTAGTTTTAAAAAAACAGCGTTGGGTGCCTGTCGTCAATAGTAAAAAGCACACCACGCTTTTTTTCAAATTTATTAAAATTTATTTTCTATGTTTTTGTTTGGTTTTCTATAAAAAGCGTGTTTTTTAGTTTTCTTAATATATTTTTTTTATATTTGTGTATTGTCATCGGTCCTCGATATATCTACAAAGTTTGAACGAATTCTGACCGTTTAAAGTCAGTCAAAATCACGCCCAAATGAGTCGGTTACAAACAAACATACAATTGAAGCTAATATAAAGCGTGTAATTATATCACTTTGTCTGGTTACCTGATTGTAAGTAACTGCCGGACGCCAATTGACACATGAAGTTCCTTCCCCCTCCAAATAAGAGGGGGAAGGGGTAGTGCCTCCGGTAACCTCCCCTCACAGAAATTGCTTAACACCGTTTTTGTAAGTTCTTGGTACCGTTATGCTTCTCATTTGGGTGGAAAATTAATTAATGAAGAATACAGTTTATTGCCATTCATCTTGAAGTCAGCGCATTGAAGTCGGTTAATTATATTATTTTAATAATACAATAATCATCAACAACAGCCTTTAATAGTCCACTGCTGGAAATAGGCCTCTCCTTAGAAAGGAGGCTTTAGCCTACTATACCACGCTGGCCATACGGGTTGGTATAGGGTTTGAACATAGGGTACGACTGGGCCCTTCGCGCCGATTTCCCCCCCGGGCTGGGTGTAATCTGTTACGCAGACGATACCTTGGTGACAGCCCGGGGGGCAAACTTCCAAGAGGCGGCGCGCCTGGCCACAGGGGGAGTCTCCCTGGTGGTCGGGCGCATTGAGGCGCTGGGCTTACGGGTGGCCCTAGATAAGACGGAGGCCCTGTTATTTCATGGGCCCCGTCGTGGTCCACCCCCTGGCGCCTCAATCGTGGTCAACTCGGTCCTCGTACCGGTTCGGGCCCAGATGAAATATCTGGGCCTGATCCTCGACGGGAGGTGGCTCTTCGACGAGCACTTCCGACAGCTTGCTCCAAAGCTGGTCGGCGCTGCGTCTGCCCTAGGGCGACTTTTGCCCAATATGGGTGGACCCAGCGTCTCGACAAGACGGCTGTACACGGGGGTTGTCCGGTCAATGGCACTGTACGGTGCACCGGTGTGGGCGGCGGCTCTGACCGCCCAGAATAGGGTACGCCTCTGGCGCCCTCAGAGGGTAATGGCGGTCAGAGCCATACGCGGTTACCGCACCGTTTCGACGGAGGTGGCATGCGCGTTGGCCGGAGCTCCCCCGTGGGATTTGGAGGCGGAAGTGCTCGCCGAAGTTTATCGGCGAGTGGCTGACTCCCGGGCGGAGAGCGGATTTCGCCCTCCGCCCGAGGATGTGCGCGAGTGGCGCGAAGCCGCTCGCCGAGCCACGATGGCTCGTTGGTCGTTCCGGCTGGAGACTCCACGCGCTGGCTTCGCCGCCGTGGAGGCTCTCCAGCCGGTCATCGCCGAGTGGGCAGGGCGGCAGCACGGGACCCTTTCCTTCCGGCTGACGCAGGTGCTTTCCGGGCACGGTTGCTTCGGGAAGTACCTGCACTCGGTCGCTAGGAGGGAACTGAGTCCCGCCTGCCACCACTGCAACTGCAGTGAGGACTCGGCCCAGCACACGCTGGCGGTCTGCCCCGCATGGGCGGCGCAGCGCCGGGCCCTCACTGCAGTCATCGGAGTGGATCTCTCGCTACCGGCCGTAGTACGCTCCATGGCCGGTAGCGACAGTTGTTTTACCGCGGTCGCAACCTTCTGCGAGGTAGTAATCTCGCGGAAGGAGGCGGCGGAGAGGGCCCGGGACGACCTCCACTCGGACCCGATCCGCCGCCGGCGAACCGTGCGGCGGAGGCCCGCCTATCACAGCCTCATGCCGCCCTGAGTGTGGCCGCGGGTGGACGGGGTGGGTTTCCCCTCCACCCGCATTAGTTTGGCCAGCCGCGAGGGGGCGGCGTCCGCGTGTGCCGGACGTCGCCTAAAGAGAGGAACATCAACAATGAGACGGAGCCCGCACCAGGAGCGGGCTGGCGCTAGGAGGGGTCCGGATGTCTTAACAACAGCTGTTCCCGGATCCCTCCTGTTACAGGCGCAGAGTGGCACACCGTGTGGTTTTAGTCGGTCCGAGTCCGACACACCACCCCGCCGCAAACCCCGGAGGGGTGTCCGGACCGACGTCCGAGGGGATTTCCACACGTTAAAAAAAAAAAAAAAAAAAAAAGGGTTTGTGACAAGTTTTCCTTCTCTTTTTGCAGTTTTGTTATACTGCGTAGTTTACTCCCTTAGTCGGCTCTTACGACACCCACGAGATGAATAGGGGTGGTGACACTCCGTATTCTTAATCCGTCACCACACGGACGGATAATACAATAATAGAGTAAAATATCCTACAGTGCCCGTCTGAAAGGATCCACATTTGTATCAGATAATAAAAAGCTCACCGAATTTCATAGAGACTTAGTCATGCTTGATAAGTGCACTACATATTCGTGTCAGTCTGTCTACAAAGGTACTAATTGTACAAGAGATGGATCTCGCCCGAGTGCCTGCTCCACACACGAGCGTCCTCATTCTGCATCGTAAACTGCTTGTTAAATGTCACAGGAAAATGTGGGATTAAAATGGCGTGAACTAGATCGTCCAGAGGTTAATATCATTATGTTGCATGAGATTAGTAGGTTAAATAATAATAATAATAATATTCTACCACATTCACACAACGCCATCTAGTCCTAAACGATTCTGAAACTAAACGATTCTCAAATAAATGATTCTGATTCTGATTCTGATTCTGAAACTAAGCAGAGCTTGTACTATATCTACTAGACAACTGATATAAATACATATATACTTCTTTTTGTAAATACTAAATATTATACATAGAAACACTCAGACTAAATCAAACATTAAATGTTCATGCACTCAAACTTGAGCGGGACTTTGACTTAAGCGACAATCGAACCCGCGACCTTTGGAATAGCAGTCCGTTACACAAACCACTACGCCATGCGGTTAAAGCGACTGTAAGGATAGCATAGT